CCCATTCTCCCTCCAGCCATGATTGTAAGCCCCATACAATGGAACTTCGACGAGGACATTCGGGCCGCCACTCTCACAGAACCTGCTCCGCCGACTCCAACTCCCACCCAGGTACCGAATTCACCCCACTTTCCATGTGTCACTCCTTAAACCCCACTCTCCCTCTGCTCCAGGCCCCACCGAACCTGACAAACCTCCTCCTCCAGAAATCCTGGACCAACCGTCCATCTATCTGGTCAGAGACATCCTGGACTCGCGGCAACGGGGTGGTCGGCTCCTTTCCATCAGAACTCAGATAAGCACCCTGGAACCATTCACTGTGTTGACATTCACCTGCCTTTAACTCACCTATTCCAGTCATCCACTTACCCAGTCAATAAACCATCCTGTTTTGCACTTACCTGTTGTGTCTGGCCTTGCTTTGTGACAGTAGTGTACAGCATGGATTACGTACAGAGAACATTCAGCTCTATTGGAGGCCGAATAGGGGAATTGATTTTCTAAAGCATCATGTGGAGGTTCTTCCTAACATCCTAAGTCGAGTCTCTTAAATGAGATATAGTCTCCATTTGAAATAAGTTAATGTACAATCCATTTTTATATCAAGAAATCTGTAAATACAAAATTGATCAAATATTGCCAATTTTGTGAGGTGAATGTATAGAGTGGTCTGATGTGAATTAACAGTGACATTTATATAATACTTTCAGTTTTTTGGGAGGGTGCATCATCTATTCCCGCAATGGGATGGACATAAATACGGTATTTGTCTTTTTACACTGCAAAAAAAGAAGGGGAGAAAAAACTATTTTCTTCATTCTTAAGCAGTTTTTTGTCTTGTTTTCCAAGAAAAATATCGACTTATTTCATAAAGCAAAATGACATTACTTGAGAAACAAATTTGTGTAAAATAGCAATAATCATTTTGAGAGAATTTATAATTATTTTTTTCTTACCCAACTGGTAAACCATTTTAAGCATAAATTTAACAAAATTGTGTGGTTTAAGCTTAATACAAGAAAAAAATATTTGCAAATGGGATGAATTAAATTAATTCAACATAAATTGTCTGAAAATGTCTTAAGTTTTGTTTCTCAAGCAAGGATGTTTAGATATTTTAACTGAATAACATCAAATACTAAACGAGGAGGATTTTTTGCAGTGTATGCATTTCTCAGAAACAGAACAATAGATCAAATTAATCTGGATGTATTTTACCTGGATAATGACATACTGTTTTGAAATCCTCATCAACATTTTCTTATAACTAAAGATTAACAAGATAAAAAAAAAGGCAAAAAAAAAAAAAACTATCACATATAATTCACAGAACACACAGGCAAAATAGATACATAAACACATGAAATCAAACTTGTTGAACACTGCTCAAAGACACCTGGCAAAGTCCATAGGCACTTTCTGGTGATGGACACTTCTTTGAGTGTTCAAATTCAGTCTGTTTTAAGTGCTACGAAAGTAAACTGTCTCTATAAAATACTGCTCTCAAAGAATACATCTATTTGAAAAAAATATAATAATAAAATTTTATAAAAAAAATAAAGAATTACTGAAGTAGAAATGAAGAAAGATGGAGGGGCAAGGATGGAGTTTTTTAGCATGTGAAAATATTGCAAACAAGTTTTGTTTTCATCGGATACACTTTCTGGCTGTTTTATTTATGGCAACTTTGGCGCATTCCAGGGAACTGATTCAAGACTCCATCTACCTGTTAACTTCAATTGTTTTAGATGCTTACTGATTGATGCTTACTGATGCATAGACGCCTTGTAGATGCCAAGCACAAGTCGTCTGGGTTATATGTGAAACACATGGTAAATGGCTCTCCCTAACACTTATATTCTCAGAACACATTACAACAACCAATCAATTTAACATACTATGAAAATATAGCCATATTTTCGATATATTCACATCACCACCCCCTGAGAAGCATCAATCACTCAGACTTCTATTGTATTGTCATCACAAATCTGCCAACCTCTCTGCTCTGTGTTAAGAATCAAAGCATGGGATAAACAACACCCAATATGTTCTCAGCGCATTCCCGCAGAAAGACCGAGAGATCTTATCTTGATCTCATCAGGTTCTCTCAAGTAGTCAAACATCAGCGAAGTGCCCCACGAGTGACCGTTCAACCCATGATGTGCATTAAACACTAGTATGCGAGCAACTACAGAAGCCAATGATATGCTGCCTGATTTAATGGAAAGCACAGCGTCAGGGGAGATGCACGCAACTAAAGCCATATAAAAGCTGATGGAGCCGACAACCGAGGCAGAGTTGTTCCACCGGCTCATATATCAAACTTTAAGGTAATGCATGACTTCAAGTAGGAAATGAATTAGAGTCTAATAGTTTAAACCAGTCTGCACTGAGTACAGGAATAATGGCCCTGCTGGAAAATCCAGCTTAAACTGGTAGCATTTTTTTTTAAGGTGGTCAAGTTGGCTTGTGAACAAAGGTGGCAGCTGCTTAAGATCGATTTTGGGGTGTAAATGCATGGTTTTGTTGTATCAAAGTGTGATTTCCTGTAGATTAATCATTGATGTATATACTCTTAAAAATAAAGGTTATTTATTGGTATCTATGGTTCTATTAAGAACCTGTAACATCCATGGAACCATTGCATTGCACAAAAGACCCTTTATAGTGGAAAAAGTTTCTTTAGGTAATTAAAATATTTTTAACACTGGGGGGGGGGGCGGGGAACCTGATGGCTAAAAGGTTCTTTAAGGAACCCGAAATAGTTCTTCTATTGCATCGCTGTGAAAACAACTTTTTATTTTTAAGAGTGCAGGAATATTAGTGGAGCTGAGAGCAAAAAAGTTGGATGGTGAGTCCCTGAATGGAGAGGCAGAGCTCCAGGGAAGGGAAGCTGAGCAGAGCAGAGCCCCAGGAGAGTGAACTGACTGTGGGGAAGAGAAACAGAAGGCTTCAGGGGTAATTACTACCTGCCTGACAGGAATGTCTCACTAATGCCTCTCATGTTTATTCCAGAGCCTGACAGTGAGCACATTAGAAATGCAACGAAAGACAGTCCATTAGATACTGTGTGTGTGGATGCGATATGGAATATCTGTGTTAGATCCCTAACGTCTATTTACAAGTGCAATATCCATTGGATGGATAAAAAACAGGAAGCAAATGACTACTTTTAGCTGTTCTATTTTGTTGTTGTTGAGTGTTAACTTGTTTGTTTGGTTAGATCATTCCCATTTACTTTAAAGCTCATATAATAATGTTAAAGTACTTCTTATTACCCCTTAGTCCAGGTCAGTGACGCATCCTAAGACCAGCTCTGTTTTTCGCAGCGATCATGACAGCTTCCAGCACATTACTGCTAAGATGGTTGAGTAATTCAAACCACATTATAGCATCTGAATCTGCATCGGCATTCATAGAATGAATCATGTAGCCAAGACTGAGAGTAAGAAAGAAAGAGCAAATGTGGTGACAAAAGATGATGAAAACCTAGACAGACGACTTATCAAGAGCTACAGTAAGAGTCAATGATTGTACAGTTTAAGAAAAGGATTTTAAAAGAGGAACTTGGAAAATATGCTGGGGAGATCCTAGTATTGGCCGCTGTAAGATAATCTTCTCTAATTGTATATGAATTGTCAATGAACAAACTTTTAAAATAAAACATTAAGATTGGTTTGTTAATTTAAGGCTTGTGAGACTTAAGTCAGTGTAGTTACTAGTTATTCATTTGACAATATGTAGTTAAAGTTACACATTTTGAGTTTTAAGTCTTCAAATTAAAGTAACTATATATTAGCAAAACATAGTTTCTGTTTAATAAATAGTTAAGACAAATTATTAAAGGGGTCGATAAAGTTTCCTCAAAAGTACTACAAGAATCATTACTGGAATCATTATCAAACCTGTGCTGCTAAGTTGAATCCCCACCAAATCCCTATCAAACCTGAAAAATGGTATGGCTGAATTAATGGCAGGACATAAACATGGTGGTTACTGCTAGGAGTGCATGATGGCATGAAAATAGTTCTGTAGCTCTTTCAGTTCTGGTTTCTGTCTGCATTGTGACTCAGATTTCTGAAGAGGTAAGGCGAGAAGATCTAGGCAATGAAACCTAAACTGCAGTAACTAGAGGAAGGCAGGGAATATGACACGCCATGTGTGTGTTATATAGAGAAAAGGTTGTGAAGGAGAGAAAAAGGAAGGCGAGCTAAGTAGAGATCTGAGTCATTACATTATTAAAGGTCAGCAAATGTCACAGTCGTGCATTGTTGTCAACAAACGCTGACCTGAGATCAGCTGCTTTGAAACTAGACAGCGACTGGTAGTTATGCATACAACCCAACAAAGTTTGAACACATACCTGGAAACGGCTGAATGAAAATGTGTACACTTCTGATTAAATAAAGGGCCTTGATGTTATAGAAAAAAATCTATTAATACTTCAAAGATAAGGCAAAAACAAAATCCTTATTAGATCAGGCAGAAGGCTCCAGATCAAGGAACCATGGTGCAGCTGCTAAATTGCGCGTTATCTGTGAAGCCTGTGATAGCGTCTATTTACGTCCTCTTGTGAAGCCCAGGACATCCAGAGTTTGTGCCACAAGGGCGCATTAATACATCTGAGAAACCCAGTATATGTTAAACATTCATCAGAGTTTGTGGTGGGTTTCAGTATGCATTATGGTGAACTTTCTTCAGGGTAATAGGCTTCTGCTTATTTAGAAGTAGCTATTTTAAGCCAGTGAGTCTTATCGCTGATGTGGATCCACTGGTGCTGTTGAACCAGCTCATCAATGAATTGTCCATGCTGGGTTCAAAAGGATCGAAGTTCTTGTCTCTGCATCCCTTGCTGGATGGCCGTCATGGCTTCACTCCTCCATTCTCCTCTTTCTGCTTCCTTGTTTCCTTCACTCCAACCTCTCATCCTCTCTTTACTGTTGATAACGTAGCATTCTTTTCCGCACTGGTTAGGCCTGAGGTGGGGGGGAGTCAGGCTGAGCCCCTCCATCCACTCTCACCACTAGAGGAATAAAGAGAAAGAAAATGTAAGTGGTTCATGGTTAAATTCTTCAAGCAGTAAAGTTTGGGACTTAGCAACTATACTAATTTATTGTTTACGGTTTTATTATTTACTAATTTAAATCATTTTCTTTTCTGGCTTTGACAATTCATTTTAGCGAGCTGGTTCATTCAAAGGATTCATTTTAAACACTTGTTCCTGTAACTGCATTTTAATTAAATAGTGCTGATTTGTCCCAGATTACTTAATTGACTGCATAAAATTTCTCTATACAGGATTAATAGTGCACACGAATAATTTTTTTTTGCAAATACACATAAAAGTTTGAGGTTGGTCATTCATTCATTCATTCATTCATTCATTCCAGAAAGAAGTCTCTTATGCTAACCAAGACTGAATTTATATATATATATATATATATACTGTATATAGAGTAATATATATATACTGTATATATATATAGTAAAGCAGTAATATTGTTAAATATTATAATTTTCTGTTTTAATATATTTTAAAATGTATTTTTATTCCTGTGATGACAAAGCTGAAGGTTCAGCATCATTACTACAGTATTCAGTGTCACATGATCTTTCAGAAATCATACTAATATGCTGATTTGCTGCTGATTTATTGTCATCATCAATGTTGAAAACAGTCGTGCTGCTTAATATTTTTGTGTTAACTGATGCAATGAAGGAATGACACTAAAATATCAAGAGTGCAAAACAGATATCAAGAGTATAAAACAGACACACACACTCAAACACACTCATAGACACACACACACAACACACTATTATACACACACAGATGAACTGGTGTGGCTGTAATAATATGGCAAAATTGAGTCAGAAGACTCAAATAAGAGGTTGAAATAAGATTAATTAACCTCTGATAAAGCATTCATTTCATTTTTGTTGAACTTTGATGTTATGTGTATAAAATGTCTTTCTTTGTGTTCAGGTTTGACTAGTAAAATGAATGCAAAAACTGACATTTCAAACCAACATTTCAAACAAAAAAAATCTAAACCTTTACAAAAGGTTGTCTTAATCAAAATTCTTTGTCAAAAGAATGTCTAAATATAAATCCAAATCCACAACTTAAAACAAAAGTATTTATGTCTAAAAACAACTAGAGAATTTAAAAGCCTTTTATATAGAGCTATATAGGAATCTAGTGGCTAAACCATGGAATTACACAAGTTTTTTTTTTTTTTTTTACTCAAAAAAATTTGGATTATAAAGGCATTGTCTCTATTTTAAAATGAAATACTGCCATAATTGAAAAGTAATAAAAAAATATGTGACCTGTGCTGGCAAAATGAGTCGGAATGAGCAAATTTTCAAAAATGAGTTCTCTTCATTTTCACATTCAACATTAAAATACCTTCAAAATTATATACTGTATAACTTGTTGGAATCGGACAAAAAATCACTGCACTACAGCTGTTTGAAGGCGATAGAGTCAGCAAAGTCAATTTTGAGAAAAATTGAGTTAAAGTTTTCTGAAGGTTCCAAAGCAAAATCACAGAGCAACCTTGCATATTTTCCTCCAATTCTTTTCTTAATAACAATTACTATATTATTAATCACAATATAGCTGTTTTTTTTATTTTATCTTTGTTATTAAAAATAATATACAAAGATGCAAATAAACTGTAGTTTAATCAAGAGTAGCGAATGATTCCGTCTTTTCTTTTAATGTTTGATTAACATCGAGACAGATCAATATTGTGACCTACTGTAATGCATGGATCTAATATAATGTTACACATCAGATTTTTCCCCAACCATTAACTAAACGTTCATGTAAGACATAACAGATTATTTTTGTGTGAATCTCGCCAAGACATATTTAGCAATAATGTATTTATAGGGAGATTGCACGCTCTCAGAGAGGCACGTCTTATGCACGCGCTTTGCAAATGTCAGTCAGCACGATCGTTTTGTTTTTTATCAGCATGGGGTTGAAAAACATATTTTACTGGTTCAGACTCATGTCATACAGAATTCGCTATGAATATTTATAAAGCTGGAATGCTGCGCTTTGCAACGATATAGGCTATCCTACAACTTGTGGTAAGAAGCAGCAGCAGTCGTCCAGAAGTGAGCAGAGAAAAAGGTACTCCTCTCAGAAAACTTACAAATAAAGATCATTTTAGATGTTTAATTATTATTTGAAGCATTGTATCACTAAAACAGGGCTTAATGAACTCATTTTTGTGAAAACCTCAAATTTGACCAAAACTGACATTTTTCACTTCTTTTGCCTGTAGCTCAATATTAGACCGTGCGCATTCCGACTCATTTTGCCAGCACGGGTCACATATTAGAAAAAAAGGTATTATTTTCATTGAAAATGTGATCATCATTTTTTTATAATTCTCACACAATACGAAATAAAAAAAGAAAAAATATTATTGAACAAAAATATATTACATTGATTTCACTGAAAGAAAAATTTTTTTTCATTTGTTTTCATTTTCAAAATTTCATTTGTCCGGTCACTTTTGACTGTGAACAACACAAGTGTGACTCCCAAATGAACAATACCAGAGGGTTAAAGATAAATATTATGCACTGCCTTATTTCATGTCAAAATGAAATGCTTGAGGAAAAGTTTCTCACTAAATGACATGCAGGTTCCATTTTTAGCCGGTTTGAGGCGAGCAGCGAGCAGTCCCCCTGGAGCTCTGAGCATCCCGTTCCCCTCTGCCTGCCCTAACCATTTAACTGCAATCACTACTACATTCAGCCTGAGACACAAATGCCTCATTTTCCCACTAACCCTTCAATCTGTTGTCAATTGTGGGATGCCATGGAAACAGTTCCGGAATGCTGCAAGTAGGCTTTTAGCTCTGAGGTACCGTTTTGTGTCTGGAGCAATTCAGAGCTGTGCCATTTGTGTAATAGCAAAAAAACTTTTTCCCATAGCAGTCTATGACATCATAGCAGTCTAAGGAGAAAACTGTAGCCACACCCACCCATTGTAGAAACAAAAGTCTATTTTGCAATTAGACTAAAAAAATGTAGATACAATTTGTTTGAATGGGGTAAGAAGTGCCAAGACCAGTCTAAAAATCTAGGACTCAATCCATATGAAGTAAACTGTGCATATGTACACTATACACAAGCAGTATATAAAAAAGGAATTACTGTAGCTACCACTCAGTAAAAGCACATTTACAATTTTGGGGGATAACCCAAAAGCACATGTCTATCAAACTGGGGAATGTTTATCATACTCTATGCACACTTTCTGTCAAACCTGGAAATGCTACAGTCTTTTGTCTCATGAGAGGCGTCCTACATTTTAAGTGTCCTCAGCAGGGGATGCGGTATTTTGAAATCACATTCTCTCGGCCTACCGAGGGTAGTTCTGTCCAAACGTTACGCTCAAGAGCAACTCTGAGAGCACTGAGAAAGTGTGAGAAAATGTGCGTAGGCAAATAGTAAACATAATATTTCAAAGTAGCAGCTTCTGTCATAGTTAAATATAGTTCAACAATATTATGCCCACTATATGCAAAGGCACATATACAGAACGCAATGGACTGTATGTGATTTTGACTCATTTAAAAAATAAAAAAACTCATGCAAAGAAAATTCTTAAACTGTTCCAAATTTGAATAGTTAGTTAGGCGAGGGACATGTACCTTTAAAAGGATAGTTCACTCATGAAAATGAAAATTTACATGATTTACTCACCTTCGTGTTATTCCAAATCTGTGTGACTGACTTTCTTCTGTGAAACAGATTAAAAATATTTAGATTTTTTTTTTAATGTCTCTTTTGAAATATCTTTAGTATTTCACAGAAGAAAGTAAGTCACACAGGTTTGGAATAACACGAAGACAAAAAGCTCCAAATATCAGTGTTAAACCTTATATGTGCATTAATATAAGGGAAAAGGCATTTCGATGGATGAGAATGAATCTGAAAGGTATATATAGAAAGGAAGAAGAGCATAGAGTGATATCAGAAAGATAGCAGAATGCCTGAAATTTGCTATGGTTCATGCCGTCCAGCCTTCGAACAGCTCAAATGATGCACAGCCCGACGGGAATTGTCCCGACTCTCCTGATTAGCCGCTCAGACCTTGGCAGTTGGCGTGACTGATCTTCATGTTGAGCAAAGTGTGGATCCATGCAATCACAAGTGCCAAAACCGAAGAAGCCTGAATTCCTTTAAAAAATGAAATACCCTTTCACCTTCATCCATCTCCTCTGATATCCAGTCATCCATTCGTTCATTCCCTAGAGTCTAGTGAAAGCTTGCGAGAGTAAGAACTGCTAGAGAGTGACAGAGCTTCCTCTCTGGAAATATAAACACTGGTATACTAGCATTAACTGCTGACGGTTTGTTAGTAACTCCTGCTGAACTACTGACAGCATATTTACAACAGTTAATCAAGTTATTTGTCATTCCTAATTGACAGCAACAGACAACAGAGACCAGTGATTCTAACTAAGAGTAAAATGAAGAGATATGTACAGACAGGAACTGCCGATTCTGCAGCACATTCACTGGCCTCTTGGGTGCTTTAACAAGTTTGCCCTATTAGATAAAAAACAAATACATCTGCACATATTTCTGAACACACTGGGCCTCATTTATCAATCTAACGTAGAAACGAGTGCAGATCTGTGCGCACAAATCAACTTACGACAGAGTTCACATGTGATTCATGAAACATTCGTATGCCGCCAATCTCATCATATGAATGATCGCACGTTGAAAAATGTGGCGGCTGAAAACAATCGTCATTTGCATATCACGCCCTTAAAAACATCCTGGTTTAGAACCCTCGCCCCTAGAGTTTACGACACGTAGAAACGAAACCCGGCCAAAAAGAGGAAGTCATTTCATGATAGAGAAATTGATCTTACTCCAAAAACACCCATTAACCTTGTAATTGTAAACAATTAGGCTGCATTAATTGATGTAATTTAGGTATATTAAAATACTGGTAAATATAAACAGCCTATTAAGTTCTCCTCACTCTACAACAAATAATTTAAAGTTTTAAAATAAACAGTGTAACTTTTTGACTGCATTTTAGTTTGATGATGAATGGCTGAAATGTCAGGCAACGGTAGAACTAATGTTGTTTGTGTGTACGTAAGGCGCCTGTGCGATCAGATGGATTTAATCAAATAAAGATATAAAGAAAATAAATAAAATGCATTAAGAGTGTCACAAAAACGAGCGTAGCCTATATACTTGTTGCAGTGGGGTTTTTTTCCTTTCGTTAATCTGTTAATTATATTATAGCCTATTATTTATTTTGTGTGATCCTATTTATTTTATTCCTTTTAAAGACTTAATTTCTGTTTTTCTTCTTTCACAGAAGCGCGGCAGGTGCATGATGTGAAGATTGAGTCCTCATGGTCTTGTTTACGCTGCTATTCGCGCATATAAAGCTAAAGCCCTGTATGAAAAAAAAAAGACATTCTAATCTTGCTTCGTTTGACGGTCAGGAAAAGAAAAATGAACAAAATGCTGTCATTCTCGAATTCTCCACCAGATGCGCGTACATGAGCTGAGACCAGACGTGAGATTTTATCGTAGCCACCGCTCACGTCCATATTGATCAATTCCAAGTTTTGCGTTGAAATGACCGTACGCCCAATTTTCTGTCGTACGTTCATTTCATAAATGAGGCCCACTATGGGTCGTCTGGATGTTTTAATGATTCCATAGAAGCAGCGGCAAACATTTGTAGCTAATGCTTATTAGCAGCTTGTTGGTAGATCAAAAAAACGCAGGCACTGGCGCGCCAGTACGTCTAAAGTCATCCTGCGATTTGTCATACAACAGCTCCTAATGAGCCAGTCTTACTGTCAGACTGTCTGGCCAGTGCATATTTCTCCAGACTTAAACAGACTGCCCATGTTCACTGACCATCTAAAGTGTTTTGCACACCAAAACCACAAGGTGCTATCCAAAAATCTGCCGTTTCAATCTGATTCTATTGAATTTTCTGCAGATTTGACTATTTTAGGTAAACCTGTCCCTAAACAACATGTAAAAACTAAAATGAGATGTATTTACTTGTCATTCAGACACACCCTTTGCGTTTAAGTAGGCGGTTCTTGATCATAATAAGATGCAATGGGGACTTGATGCAATTTGATAAAGGTCTGGCTATACTGACATTGATGTTTCTTTAGCCAAAGTGGCAGTGGCTTTTTAAACCTTCTAAAAGCTTTCAAATTTGGTCATTTTAAACCCCATAGTTAATTTTATTCAAAAAGTGCACTGATACATCAATTAAAAAAAAAAGACTTCTAAGCATTATTTATAATGATCAAATAAAAAATAAATGTTTATGATGTACTGTATTAGGAGACAGATGGTGTAATGGAAGACCCAAGCACAAAACGTTGATCACTAAGTGTGGGCATTGATGACTGAAGCTATAGACAGTGAGACCCTTGGCACTAATTTGTTTACAACTGGCGCCTCTGTGTTTACAGTAGCCACATTTGAGTAATAAAGGAGGGATTGCCAGAAAGACCTGATGGAATAATCACACCTATTCTGTTGCATTATATGTGTGTGTGTGTGTGTGTGTGTGTGTGTGTGTGTTTAGACTGACAGCATCTGCCACTGTGACTGTGGGACGCTAGTGGAGAGCAAGCAAATGTTGATGAGAAGATAAACTGCATAGAAATGAACTAAAAGCCACATGGATGAAACTCAGAAAACTCATCAAGAAAATGTCCAGATCATATTTCATCCCAAAATCAAAAGAAAGAAAAAATAAATGCTATTTTACACATTAAAGGGATCGTTCACTTTCTTCCACAGAAGAAAGAAAGTCATACAAATTTAGAGCATATAACTGTGAGTAAATGATGACAGAAAAGCACCCCATTTTCATTACTTTCCCCATTCCATTAAACGTATAAAAAAAAAACATTTCTGACACTCTTGTTTTTGTTTTCCTGTTTCTTTGCAAAGGTTGCATCTCCTCCCCCCAAACCCATCACTATTCACCACCCAGCTCCCATGATGCACTGTTGCACCCTCTCAAGAACGTGACAAGTCTCATCTCTAAAACCCAAGACTAACTGTTTTTCTCCCTCGTCTAAATCGGGTCTGAACTCAGTCGTCTGACCATGTCTTTCATAAAAGCCTGTAGGCCTTTCTTTCTTTCTTTCTTTCTTTCTTTCTTTCTTTCTTTTTTTCTATCTTTCTTTCTTTCTTTCTTTCTTTCAGAATGGACTGATATATGACAGTGAGGTTAACACAATGCTCTTGGCTCATAGAACCGTGTTCAATAAATGCAAATTAAAATGCTGCTATTTATTTATTCATTAAGAAGGTGCTTTTATCAGTAGTGATTCACTCAGGCTGTACTTTCTCTCTTTCTCTCTCTCACACACACACACACACAGTTGTGCGGAACATAGGTATTTGACATTTTAATATTTAATAAACTGTTCTATGTACTAACCTCTCTTTGTAAATAGACTATGCTGATGCCATTAATATGATCTTTCATTTCTCTGTTCTGTGATATTTCCAGGCCTTAGTCACATAGAAAAAACAGTGATTAGTTCTTCCTCAAAAGCACCATTTGATAATTTTGTTTTGTCTGTTTAGTTGAAGACAACTTATAGCACACCATTTTCGACATTTTATGCTCTTGCATTACTGGATTTTCTTTTTCTTTTTTTCTCTCTCTCCAAACAAGGCAAGACGGATATAGTGCTTGGGAAATCTCTTTTGCAACGATTGTTATTATCTGCAGTTCCTTTTGGATCCACTAGTGGTGCGAAAGTTACACTGGACTTTTAAATGCGTTTTTTGTGCTGAATCCATTTCATCCAGTGATATGCATATATTTAATGCTCTTCCAACTGAGACCGTTTGTCCCCAGTGAAGATGTTTAACATCCATCTCTGCACTTTGCAGAAGGTTGAATCAACATGCCCACTTTATTGTTGAGCTGTAATACTGTCCCGTCCCTATGGCGTCAGTCCTATGTGAGGGAACTAGTGAACTGTAATCACCACCGTCTCGTGGTCTTTTAAATATTATTGAACAGCACACAAGCGATTTAGAGATTTCCCTGGAATGTATGAAAGCACCGCTTTGGTTTATTTTCAGGGTTTGTGCATGTATATCTATGCAGTTCTCAACTTGTGTGTTTCTTTTAAGATCTGAATGATAAACGTCAGTTGTGTCATCCACACCCAGCCTTACATGGAAATGCCAAGTGTATAAGATAGTGTAAAGTAAAAGAAAGATATGAGAGAGAATGGGGAGATGGGACAGGGAGAGAGATATACTAAAGATACACACAAAAGAAGTGAGAGGTATGGGAGTATATTTGTAAAATACACAGTACAAAGCGACGCTGACTCAACCAATAGCTTGCATTAGGGGCCAATGTGTTTGAAACTAACTTTTTATTATTTAGACTGGTGATCTTACCGATCTGCTCTGCTGCATGCAGCTGTGTGTGGGCCTGTGCCTGCGTCTGTGTCTGCGCTTGCTGCTCCTGCAGACTCTGGCTGTCCACTGAGATGCCGCTGTCACTGTGCAGCTTCTCTCCCTCTGGAGATGGTGTCTGATTGGCTGTGGCTGCGCGATTATTAGCTGCCTGTTTATTCTGCTTGCAGCTGTTCCACCTGGAAGGCACAGATGCACATGTACAGTACAAATTAATGTAATGAGTGAGAGTAAAGCATTAGCTGCTTTCAATTTCAACAACAAACATGTTCACATAGTGGTGTTTTTTATTTAATATGCCTAAATATGTTCGAAATGTAGTCTTTATGACTATTTTTCTCAATTTAATTAGATTTATTGTGATAATTTAAGTTAAATTAAATGTATAGTTAGTAATTAAGTTAAATAGCATATGACATACAGTAATGTAATCATTTAAAGTGCATAGGTTAGTGGGTAATTGTAATTAGCTTAAAGGGTTACTCCACCCCAAAATGAAAATTTTGTCATTAATCACTTACCCCCATGTGTGTGGTGCGGCTGACACAGACAAGTGTGGTGCGGCTGACACAGACAAGTAGAACAGTGTACGCAGTTTACGTTCAGTGGATACTCTCCAAAATGGTGCTAACAGTTGACGCGGAGGAGACAAATTGTTGAATAAAGTCGTTATTTTTGTTTTCTTCGCGTACAAAAAGTATTCTCGTCACTTCATAAAATTCAGATTGAACCACTGATGGCAGATGGACTATTTTGACGATGTCTTTCATACTTTTCTGGGCCTTGACAGTGTTATTTACTTGGCCGTCAATGGGACAGTCAAAAGCCTCCCGGCTTTCATCCAAAATATCTTAAATTGTGTTCCGAAGACGAACGAAGCTTTTACGGGTTTGGAACGACATGGGGGTAAGTGATTAATGACAAAATTTTCAATTTGGGGTGGAGTAACCCTTTAAACAGTCATCTAAAAATTACTTAGTTTAAAGGGATATTTCACCCAAAAATGAAAATTAGCCCATGATTTACTCACCCTCAAGCCATTCTATGTGTATATGACTCTCCTTTAGACGAATCCAATCGGAGTTATATTTAAAAATGTCCTGGCCCTTCCAAGCTTTATAATGGCAGTGGGCAGGTGTTTCTGTTCAACAGTCCAAAAGAAGTCCAATAAAGCGCATCCATCCATAATAAAAAGTGCCTCACACGGCTCCGGGGGGTAAATAAAGGCCTCCTGTAGTGAATCGATGCATTTTTCTAATGAACATATCCATATTTAGAGAGTTATAACCACTTTTCTGTAGCTTGCTCTAACTGCCACGACTTCCCCTAAAAAACGCGGAAGCAAAGAGGAGAAAACAAAACAAAACACCGGTCACGAATTAGAAGTACAAACGAGGATTTGTAAAGAAAAATGTTAGAGGATTTCGATATAAGCCAAGAGGAGACTGGTTTTCTTTTGCTAAAGTAAGGAAACTTTGCTTTCTTTGCTCCTATTAAAAAACTTTGGTTTTCACGAGATTAGCATATTCTCACCGGTGCATGCGCTACGCATACGTCCTATGTCATCCGCCCAGAATAGCTTCCGCGTACGACAGCGCAAGCTACAGAAAAGTGGTTATAACATTTTAAATATGGATATGTTTCTTTCAAGAACGCATCGATTCGCTACAGGAGGCCTTTATTCTCCCCCCTGAGCCGTGTGAGGCACTTTTTATTATGGATGAATGCACTTTATTGGACTTCTTTTGGCCTGTTGAACAGAAACCTCTCAGTTACGTATGTAACCCTCGTTCCCTGAAGGAGGGAACGGAGACATCATGTTGATGACCAATGAATTGGAAATCTCGCCAGAGAGACTAATCCACTTTGAGAGTAAACTAAACGAGCCAATGCACATTGGCATGCGATGATTGCATCCAGTTGCCGCTGATCGCAGTACGAGTATAAATAGGCAGCAGGTGCAACGCATACTCAGGTTTTCGCTGAGGAGCCGAGCCGGTGACCCAGCCGCTCATCGGTGGTACAGCAACTGTGGCAACAGGACGTGATGTCTCCGTTCCCTCCTTCAGGTAACATGGGTTACATACCTAACAGAGACGTTCCCTTTCAGTCGTCACTTTCGATGTCACGTCGATGACCGACGAACTTGGAATCCCTACCAAAGAGCCACGGATGCTGCCCCTTCCAGTGTCCTGTGCAAGCCTCCTGTGCCCCTTTGGGTATAGGCCAGGGCTCGCAACTGAAAGGCCAGTCACTGTTGTCTTAGCACTACCCACTCAGTGAGATTGGATAACACTGGGAAAATGTACCAGTTCTATTTGGAACAGGAACGTTGCGGAAGCCCCATCCTTCCCGAATGAGGTTTCAGGTGGCACTTACACATATGGATTAACTCCTTAGGGCCTTTGTACATATGGAAGATTTAGAGGTGGTTATAACCCCCTTGCAGGGATGGCGGAGAAGTCTGCCAGGGAAACACTGGCTTAAGCTATACCGTGGAAGAAAACACATATGGGATCCACTTAGGTCACTACTCTACCGGTTCTCATGGATTCATCAAATGAGGGCCTGGCGCCAGACGCTCCGCCACTTTTGGCTGCAGAGGGTGATGGAGGAGTTCTACAGGGTCTACAGTACAGACATTCTGCAGCAAGTATCACGATTTGTGAAATAGTAAGCCGACACTAAGCCGGGGGCCTCTCGGTGCTTCTACCCATTTGAGGTGAGAACACAGGAGGATACCAGCTCAAAACGGAGGCTATAGAATCTAGCGAACGTGTTGGGGGTCACCAGCCCGCAGGTCTACAAATATCTGTCAGCGAAGCACCACGAGCCAGCGCCCAGGAGAATGCAACACTCCTAGTAGAGTGAGCTCACAACCTGAGCGGGCAGGGCACACCTTGTGCCTGATAAGCAGGGCGATGACATCCACTATCCAGTGGGCCATCCTCTGCTTGGAGACGGCATTCCCCTTCTGCCGGCCTCCGTAAGAGACAAAGAGCTGCTCTGTAGCTTTGTGTCTGGCCTACGTACAATCTTAAAGTGCAGACGGGACAGAGCAAAGCTAGAGCTGGGTCTGCCTCCTCCGGGGGGCAGCACTTGCAGGCTCACTACCTGATCCCTGAAGGGCGTGGTAGGAACCTTGTGCACATAGCCAGGCCAGGTCTCAGAGTTACCTGAGAGTCAGCCAGCCCAAACTCTAGGCACCATTCGTCAACTGAAAAGCCATGCAGGTCCCCTACCCTCTTGATGGAGGCCAATGCAACCAGGAGCAGAGTTTCCATTGAGAGAAACTTTAGCTCGACTGACTGCAAAGGCTCAAATGTGCCCTGCTGGAGTGCTCTGAGCATCAGAGTCAGGTACCAGGTGGGTATAGAGGGAGAACGAGGAGGGTTCAACCTTCTCGCCCCCTAAGGAACCTGATGATCAGGTCGTGTTTCCCTACCGTCTTCCCCTCCATGGGGTCGTGATGGGTGGAAATAGCAGCAACATAGACTTTAAGGATGGAGGAAGACAGCCTTCACTCCAACACTTGCTGCAGAAAGGAAAGCACGACTCTGATCGGGCATCTCCGGGGGTCCTCTCAGTGAGAAGAACACCACTCGACGAACAGGTTCCACTTCAAGGCGTAAACGTGTCTCGTAGACGGTGCTCGCGCCGAAGTAATGGTGTCCACTACCTCTTGAGGTAGGTCACCTAGAACCTCTGCGTCACATCCAGGGACCAGACATGGAGTTTCCAGAGGTCCGGACGCGGGTGCCACAGGGTGCCCTGTCTCTGAGAATGTAGATTCTTCCTCAGAGGAATCCACCAGAGAGAGGCTGTCACGAGGCGCATCAGTTCCGGGAACCAGGTCTGGTTGGGCCAGTAGGGCGCAACGAGCAAGACCTGCTCCCCGTCCTCCCTGACTTTACACAGTGTCTGTGCAAGAAGGTTCACTGGGGGAAACGCATATTTGTGCAGGCCCCGCGGCCAGCTGTGTGCCAGTGCGTCCGTGCCGAGTGTTCCCTCGGTCAGGTCTGTTATAGAGGCAAACAGCTCTACCTGAGTGACTCCGAAATGTCTCCAAATCAGCTGGACCGTGTCGTGAAGACACGAGGGGACAGGGACAGCCTGAAGGGCAGGACCTTGTATTGATATGCTCATCCTACGAACGCAAACCACCGAAAGGGTCTGTTTCACGGAAGGATCGAGACATGAAAGTACGCGTCCTTCAGGTTGATCGCTGCTTGAATAAAGGGTTGGAAATGAATGTTTTTCTTGCTTTTTTGTTTTTTATCCGATTCATCGATTAATCGAAAAAATAATCGACAGATTAATCGATTATTAAAATAATCGTTAGTTGCAGCCCTACTGCAAACCAATCTCGGGGACGGATTCACCCGAAGATGCATTTCTGTGTCAACATCTTGAATGGTAGCCTGTGAAGGGCCCGGTTCAAGACACGCAGGTCCAAGATTGGTTGTAACCCGTCACCTTTCTTGGGTACAATGAAGTAGAGGCTGCTAAACCCCGTCTTCATATTGGCTGGAGGGACCGGCTCTATCGTGTCGTTCGCCAGTAGGACTGCGATCTCCACACACAAGACATGAGCATTGGCTGCCTTTACTGATGTGAAGAGGATACCCCTGAATTTGGGGGGACGCCAGGCAAACTGAATTGCATAGCTGAGTCTGATGGTCCGAAGGAGCTCCCAGATACCTTGTAAGTGAGACCAGCGGAACCACCGACATACCCACAGTGGGGCAGAGAGGTGGAACACAGGGACCCGGCTCAGGCGGCTCATGAACGGGCCGAAGCGGGGTCTGAGTGTGCGGTGCAACACTTACCTGGTTCCATGGTTGGGCAGAGGGTGCGTGAGTAGGGAAGCCTGGCAGGAGCAGAACGACGATACCGCTCGGCTCTGAAGCGAAAAGCTGAGTATGCGTTGCACCTGCTGCCTATTTATACTCGCGCTGCAATCAGCGGCAACTGGATGCAATCACCGCATGCCAATGTTCATTGTCTCGTTTAATTTACACTCAAAGTAGATTGGTCTCTCTGGCGAGATTCCCAATTCATCTGTCATCGACATGACGTCAGAAGTGACCGACTGAAAGGGAACGTTTTAATATAACTCCGATTGGATTCGTCTGAAAGAAGAAAGTCATATACACCTAGGATGCCTTGAGGGTGAGTAAATCATGGGCTAATTTTCATTTTGGGTGAACTATTCCTTTAACCTTTTAAAATCCTGAAAATCCTTTTCCTGATTTGGTGTTTCCGGTCAAAAAAGGTTTTGTATTTCTTTTAGGAACACTGATCTGAGCTTATACACCCCAATTTTTTATGAAAAAAAAGCATTATTTGTGGATGATTGAGTCAATATTCACTCAAAAAAAATGTTTGAATCCAAGATTTGGTGATAATATGGCAAACTGAGAGATTTTTAAAGCAATTTTTTGTAGGCTGGTTATTTTAGACTGGGAACGCCAGAAGTGTAACAAGGTTGGGGGAAATTCCCCCAAAAAGTATGAAAATTATCTAATTTCGGTTGTCATACCCTGTGTGAGCAAATTCGCTAAATTTCAGAACAATGTGATAACATTAACTAGCATTTTCAGGAAAAAGAATATCCTCTCCAGGTCAAAATGACTGGAATACAGCATGAGGGTTAATCTGATAATTCCAAATTAAGACAAAGCCTGAATTATTCACCACCTATTACTGTCCTCAATCATTACAATCTGTTATTATGTCTTTATTTTAAGATTGTTTTCTCTCTTTAGCTCACCTCTTAAAGATGATGTAAGCCAGGAGGCCGACTACGACCGCTGCAAGGATGGGGCAGTAGATGGGAATCAGGTTCTCATTTAGCCCTCTGCCAATGAAGTGAGGGGAGCTAGGTTTGGGTGTGGTGGCATCCCCTCCGGGGTTGGGGCTCCACAAACCATTTGGATCAGTGACAGACGTACTGGAATCACTAGCGAAAGTGGAATAGGTAGGACTCAACGGATCTAGAATAGAGAGAAAGACAGTCACACACATATTAGCTGCAAATGACTGGACATAGTAAACATGGTAAACTTAGGGTAAAAACTTCTGCAGTCTGCTATTGTATCTAAATGGAATTCACACTATTTATATAATTTAAAATGCAAATTGGATATTGAACTGAACCTAATGAGACCGTTAGTAGAAGCTGTGAAATTGACCAATGGCTCTCTGGATGGTGTTATATGATATATGGCCTTTTTCACCCACTAAAGGCACTATTTGTCTATTTATCTTTCTTCCTCTCTCTATTGATTTGATGCATAATTTATACAAAGGCAACCCCCCATAAACTCCTTCCAGCTCCCAATAGAGCACAACAGTGGCCGTCCACTTTTTCAAAGGCCTTTGTGCCAGGAGTATTTTTCCCATTTATTTTCTCTATAGTCAATTAAAAAAATACAATAAAAAAAAAACAACTGAACCGGCTCCAAGTGTCACACCCAAGGACTGTTCTGTGTGTTTTGTTTTGTTTGCCCTCATGTGTGCCCATATTTGGTTATGTTCCTGTTCCTGTCCTCATTATAGTTCGTTATGTTCATTTGGTTTTCCCATGTGTTTGATTGTTGATTGCTCCCAGGTGTGTCTTGTCAATTACCTCATGTACTTAAGTTCCTGTCTGTGTTGTCTGAGTTTGTCTGGTATTGAACGTCGATGTTGTGTTTCTTGTGTGTCCCTGCCTGCCTTGCTTTACCCCATCTTGGATGATTGAAAGACAGTTACTTTAAGTTTATCCCACGTCTCCTCGTTCTTTGTTTCGCCACAGAAGGCAACCGTGACACCGAGATATATCACATTACAACTTTTGGTTTAAATCCATATTAAAAAGTACTTAGAACTGTTAATAATAAATCCAGTAAATAAATCCAGGCCTCATCCAGTGAAGCTTAGCAAATGATGGTGCAATATAAAGCTATTGACTTTGAGTCATAAATTCGGTAAGTTTTAAGTTTAATAGAAAACAAAATAAATATCTCTATGGAGAAAATAAATGGCTTTTACTTATAGAATAATAATTAATAATTATATAGCGCTTTTCTGGGTACTCAAAGCGCTTTACATAGAAGGGGGAATCTCCTCTACCACCACCAGTGTGCAGCATCCACCTAGAACCCAACTATTGCACTTACTGTAAACACACACACAACTTTCTTTTGTTTTACTGTTAAACTCTTCACTCTTTCTCAAGAAAAGACTCTAGAATCAAGTGGAGATTGTTATGGTTCATGTCTTTCATGGCTGTAAAATTGGTGGTGACAGGGTTCAATCTGGCTCCACAGGAGGTCTTCACGTTACCATGACTATCTAAAACATTTTCATTCTTAGGGTGACCATACGTGCCATTTTCCCAGGACGCGTGTCCTGGGAAAATGGCACGTATGGTCACCCTACTCATTCTCATCTAAACTATTCCAGAGCAGCCATATGTGTGACTGATTAAGCAGTGCTGAAACAGAGAACCTTTTTGCAAGAACTTTGGTTTGATTTAGAAGAAGCTCCAGCTAAAGGAGGAAGGTGCCATTTATAAAAACAAGAACCAGCACTCTTGATTTACATGGATGAACTATTTAGGATTTGGAAACTGCCGTTGATCTCACCATAGTCTAAAAATTCAGCTTACACTGCCTATTGACCAGCCACCATGTTCTAAAAGCCAAAAATCATTCTGAAAATGATTCCAGTGATGTTGTAGGTGTGGTGTGGACTTCCCTATAGCACCATATTCCAACAGGAATGAAAACGAGACTGTGAGAAATAGAAATATAGTGCGTTCAATGGATTGTACTGTTGTTTAACAACATACCGATCGTTCAGCTCACAAAACATCTTTCCAAAAAACTTTCAGTACACAAAAACTCTATAAAACATTTTTAAAAGATATAAGTTGTGAAAATTACATGATCTAGGACCTTTAGTTTATACGGTGCTAAGACTGTAAGTCTATCCCTCACAGCCTTGTTTTAATCCGCATTAAATTCAGTATGATTTCTAAACTGATTAAGGTCTAGGTCTATTATTAGAAGTTAATAGTTATTGTTATTATTATAGTTATCATCCTTGGTGTGAACCAGCTAGAAACCAGCTACTCAGTTCCACAGCTACTAGCTTATTGCTTTTACTTCATTGTATAGTCTATGAAGTGTCTGTAAAATATAAGTCATGTTTGAATAGTAAAGTCATAATGAAAGTGACTTTGTCATGAGTTGTTTAAAGATGAATTAAAGAACATTTGTTTTCTAGATTGGTTTGCGCACACACAGTCTTTGGCACACCTTTCAAACTTGTGGGCATCTGAAGGCATGCAGCAGCCCTCTTTCTTTTCTTTATCAGTCTCTTTCACTTGCTGTCTCTCCCTCAGTAGCTGTCAGTCTCTCTCACCTCTTCCAGCCCGTCTCCTCCCTCTTTCTTGAAGAAATCATTAGTTTTCTGAATGAGTATGCACTAAAAGTTAAATGATTTCTGAAAGTGCTCTTTCTTTTTCTGTCTCTGTTTTTCTGATTGAAAACAGAGTACATGAAATTGTGATATGTGGATGTGTTTTCGGCCTGACTTAGCTTGAAACCTGAGTGAAAACGAGTTGTTGCTTTTTTGGACTGAGGCTGTAAAACTCAGTCAAAGGTTAACAATTTCAAATTATTCTCTCTTTTTAATTTATTTTATTTTGCTTCTTAACTGGGCGTTTTCATGATGAAGTGCCAAGTGTGAAGTGTTAACCCTCAGTCTTTATTCTACTCCTCTCACAGTCCTGTTTTTATTAGGGATTTTATTGCTTATCTGGCAACCCTTTTCAAGTTTGATATAATTGCTCTCTGTGTGTGTGTGTGTGTGTGTGTGTGTGTGTGTGTGTGTGAACGAATGGATGGCTAAATGAACAGAAGCTTTGCTGTTAAGTGCTCTGATTAGCTGCAGTAATTACACTAGCAGTACACACACACTTATTTATCTGTCTTAAACAAGGATTTGTTATTCAAAAATATTAAAAATAAGGGTGGGCTATTTGTTTCATACATGCATGTGCTTTTGTTATAGTTTAGAATTTTTTATTTAGTTTTTATTTCTATTTTATTTCAAATTAGTCTTTTCAGTTTAGTTTAGGTTTCATTTTATCATAGTTAGTTGTAGTTTTATAATATACCAATAACTAAAATTTATTTGTATTTTATTTCAGTTCCATTTGTGAAACTGTATTTTAGTATAGTTTCAGTTTTTCCCCAGTTATTTTAGTTTTTATTTTTATTTTAGTTAACAGAAATGTTTTCATGCAGTTTTAGTTTTAGTTTTATTTAATGAGAACAACACTGAGTAAATATTCTGGTTGCTCAAGTAATGGTTATGAACATCACTACCAATAAGATGTCATTCCATGTTGCCATAAAATCAGTTTTTATGCAGCAAAAAATTTACATTCTGGATGGAAAAGGGGTTTATATAAATTGTAACTTTGCATATCAGTGTTGTTATTGCTAGCTCAAACTAAAACTATTAAATTAACTACAATTATTTCAGTAATTGAAATAACGCTAAAATAAAATATCAATATTAGATTAAAAAGTTACATAAAATTAAAATGACAAAAGCACATAAAATTTCTAAAACTACTAAAACATTAACTAAAATTAAACTGAAAAATGAAAATGTAAAAAAAAAAATGCTCATTCAAAAATATGAATACTTGATCGTATAAATTATATTAAAATAACTGGTGAATAATGAATCTTATGAAAGATAAACAATAATTAAAGTGTGTTCTTTGCCACTGCAGCCATCTATCTGAGCAAGCGAGTGATGATGTGACAAAACTAGAACACTTAGAGTGGGAAATGATACCCGGAGTGGAGTTGCAGCAGAATGACTACAGACCTCTGATATGTTTCTGCATGTGTGTGTATTAGAGTGTGTGTGATGCAGTAGCTGCGATAGAGGTCACAGATTGAAACCCGAGAGTAAGAAACTCCAGTGACCTTATCGATCCAACAAAGAAAAGAGCTCAGCACATCTCTCTTTTTCTGTCACACGCACAGACACATGCCACTTAAGTCCGTATGAGCTGCAGGAAGTGAATCACCATGCATCATAGACCACCAGCGTAGAGAGAGACTGGTCATTCAGGCACGTGTGCCTTTGACTCCTACTGTGGTCATTCTCATGAAAGAGCTTGTTTTTAATGTGCCACCCTCATCAAAGGGCACATAAATGAATGACCCACCAGAGGGATAGACATGAAAGGGTCAGAGATAGACAGACAGCGAGCGAGATGGATAGAGAGAGGTAGTAAAGGTCACGTTTAAGGTCATTTTAAGGATGATAATGTGGCGCTCGCAGAGGGTGGTCATCTGTACAGAAATACACAAGGATCACTATGACTCCGTGTGTGTGTGTGTGTGTGTGTGTGTGTGTGTGTGACAGGGCAGAACAAGGCTGCTCTGTGCTGATCACATTATCTTCAGAACAGTGTTGGGAGAGATATTTTGAAACTGTAGCTTCTAATTATACAAGCTAATAATAAAGTAGTTGAATTACAGTCAAATGAAAAAGTAGCTTCGTTTTTCTACACTACAAGTTAATAATAAAAAGTAGTTTGCAACTTTAAATGTAGTTCTGTCAGGACCACTATCGTCAAAATGATAGATACTTAGCATAAAGTTTGGTTTGGCGGTATGGTTCTGTTCTGAGCAAAAAACTCCCTGCCCATCCATGCAGCCTGTCATGAATGAGCAGGGAGAGCAGCAATAATAACCCCCCTAGGATTAACAGAACAGAACAAGGCAGATATCATTAATGTACTTAATGATATTTAAGTGTAACACTTTATTCAAGATAAAGGAGTCTGATTAGCAAGGAATATCAGAAAGCCAAGTCCTGACTGTGGCGAAAGGAGGAGCTGGGGATGGAGAAGGGTAATTTGCTCCCGAGCAAGCTGAAAAGCTGCTGAATAATACTAAATAGAGCTTATATAGGAATGGTAGGTGTCGTATTCCTATAGGTAGATGTGATCAGCTGAGAATCAGCTGATGCAAGCTTGACTCACGTGACCTGCCAGAACTAACGCTAACGCTTAATTTATGTTTTTTAAAATATACACACTAGCATTCAAGTTTTTCACTGTTATGGCAAACCTGATTTTTCCTTCAGAAATCATTCTAATATACTGATTTGGTGCTCACAAAACATTTATTTTTAGCATTATAAGTGTTAAAAACAGTTGTGCTGCTTAATTTTTTTGTAGAAAGTGTGATAATTTTTTTTTCAGGATTCTTTGATGAATAGTAATGTCAAAAGAACAATAATTATAAACGTCTTTAATGTCGCTTTTGATCAATTTAATATGTCCTTGCTGAGTAAATTTTGTAATTTCTTAAAAAACAAAATCTTACAGACCCCAAACTTTTTGTTGTTGATTTTTTGCTGTTGATTTTTTTCCAAACATAAGTATGTAAAAGGCAAAAAAATATATTTAAAATAATGTCAATTAATGTGACATCATTCAATTTTAACATACAATTACAGTAAATAAAATAAACTTTTAGCAAACACCATGTTTTGATAAGTTACTCTCCAACGCTGCTAACAGAAACACAAAACTAGCCGTCACATTTCAGCTCTTTGTGTCACGAATTCGGTCCATGGACTTCCGTTTATCCCGCCTTATACCTGTTTGCCATTGTTTGACCCTGCCTGTTTACCACGTCTCTTTAATAAAGCTTGCAGATGGATCCACACGTCTCACGTCTCGTCAGCCCCGTTACACTTTGCCCATTTTTTCTCTATTTGTATCATTTGTGTCTCTTCTCTCTTCCTCTCCTCACAGGAAAGAGGCTGATGAGAGTCACATAAGAGCAGGAACTGCAGGAAGCTGAACACGTGTGTGTGTGTGTGTGTGTGTGTGTGTGTGCGCGTGTGTAACTGACAGCACTTGCAGATGTTTTATGATTTACAGATTCCATCTGCAGAGATATATCTCATCTCCTTATGCTGCACACATTATGCTACACTACAGCACACACACACAGAGCAGAGCACTTCAAGTTACAAACCTGAAACACTGTTTTAGCAAACATTCACTTAGTAAATCTGCTAAAAGTGTGTATTTTGTTGATATTAATTCTCAGTTTGATATTAATCACAATTTGGAATGTTCACAAGTAAAGACTTCTAACTATGTGGCAAACATTGCTCTGTTTTTTTTTAGGTTGAGTCAATGTTGCTGTAATGGACAGCTCAAAATTTCAGTTTGGGACACTCTCTGTTTGCCTGTGTGGAAAACATTCAGGAAACCTGTTTGGAAACAATCCATTCTATGCAAATTTATTTGTTGCCACTAAACTTTTGAAGAAGTTCCATCAGGTCACACTTTACCTTTTTTGTTGTTGTCCAGGATGCATCATTACACATTAGTGTTTACACTATAAATTCCATGTGATCACATGCATTTTTCAGCTACCTCTAAATGTGGTTTGAGTGATCCAATAACAAAGCGGTTTGGACCCCTGTTTACACAGTTAGGATTGTCCATTTGTGATCAGATTACCTGAGACAGATGTTAATCCGGGTGTGACACACACATAAACCAAAGAGCCACAGTTGACAGTAAACCCCAAACTGACAAATCCAGCCCAATCCTCGTCAGCTACAGAAGCCATAATGACCCTCACACACATACAGCCCCAGGCATCAGACATAAGACAGTCCCACCTCCCAAGCGCTAGCACACTAATGCAATGACACGCCACATTACATGCCCTCTCCAGCCATGAAAACAGAGCTTTCTCTGTGTGTTTAGTTGAGCGTGAGTGTTAAAGAGGTAGAAAAAGGGCCATCATTTCATTTGCTACAGCCAGAGTGTCTCTGAACAGAAACAAACATTCACCTGGTCGTGTTTAGTTAGTTTGTGAAATATTAAGGACTTTGAGAAGAACAATAAAGTAATTTGATTATGTTATATTTTAATACATAATATAAGTATATTATTCCACACTGTATTATTCCAACTAAAAGTATAAAAATGTAGTTGTGCCTGTATAAATGCAAAATGTTAATAGTAGATCAAGCTTATTTTTGTTTGTGTAATTTATGTTTTATTTTGTAATTGTGTGCAATTTTTCTATTGTTAATGTCTATATAGCAAATGTTATGATCATATATTATATTATGTTATATTATATAATTGTTTATTCTGATAATAAAGTCATGTTTTCAATCATTTCAAAAATCAGCAATTTCAGCACAACTAGTGACACAACATGGAACTGCAACAGTTTTATTTTTGGAAGTTTTTTTGTTTGTTTGTTTGTTTGTTTGTTTGTTTGGAACACAGTCTTTTTATAAAAGGTGTAAAGCCAATTGAGGTTTACAGTGATTTGTCACTCTTTCAAGGAGGTATAAGAACATCTATTAACCTGTTGTAAAATCACTGTGATCCACATGCCTACTTTTATACTTCTTGGAAACCCCAAGGTCTGCATGTGTACACGCGCGCGTGTGTGTGTGTGTGTGTGTGTGTGTGTGTTTGCATATGTCACTGGATTTGACCTTTTGGACTGTTGTGACCTTTATAACTACAGGGCTTTGCACAGAATAATCCACACTTTGACCTTTTCACTGCAAGGCCACCAGCAGACACATACTGAAATGACCCAGATTGATCCTCAAACACATGGAGGAAAGCAAACATTATGACTGAGACTGAGAGAAATTAGCTGTTAGTAACAGTGTGAGAGTGATCAGGCTCAATCACATCATATACAGCCAAACAAGTTGCTTGTGGTGTTCGTGCAGTTGCCCATAGTGATTGACCACAGGCTACAAATACTACAAATGCACACTTTGTGTGCAACTTAAATATGCAGGGGAAAACAAACTGCAGAAGTAAACTGAAAAATGAAGCAGAAATGTAGTATATGACAAACACGGGAAAAATATATTAAAATAAATATTTTTAAAAAATCATATACCTATTATTTACACTATTTTCTTTTCCTTATGTTTGTAACAACCCGTATATAAACTATAGTTCTATCATTTTTTATATTTTTAACAATTTTATAATTTTTTCTTCTATTTATTTATTTATTTTACATTTTTATGCTATTACTTGATTTAAATTTTTATTGTGGTTACACGTGATATTCTGGAGAGTATTATTCTCTCACCATGACACCATGCATCTTCATACGGTGTGCAGTTCCTCATGAGAATCTCTATTCCCTCCTCGCAGATAGTGCAGGGCAGGCAGGGGTCCAGCGTGCTATCCTGATCAGAGTAGGTGTCGTCCAGACACTCCTCACAGACCGTGTCGTGGGAGTGCTCGCAGCGCATCAGCACACCCTGACCGCGTGGACACACAGTGCACCGCTCGCACTGGCCTGTCAGTTCGCTCATGAAGTAGCCATAGTTGCACACACACACAGCGTCGTTCGAGTCGGTGCAGGGGGTCTGCATGCGCATAAGACCCGTGCATTCTCTGCAAGTCTGACACCTCTCTGTGTGACTGAACGTCTCAGAGAATGTCTCACCTGGAGAAAAAGATACAGAGAAAAATAATCAGAACGACAAGATAATTCAAATCTGCCCGTCTGCTGTTAATAATGACCCCTCAGGTTAAATTATTGCAACCTTAGTGCTTTCATTATAATTAGTCAGTTATGATAGTAATAATAAGACACTACAAGAGGAGGGGAGACCTGTGAAAAAAAGACAAAGTGGGAAAATTAGTAATTAAGGAAAGGAATGGTGTGCTAGATTGTGCTATAGAGATCTGTATGCTTTCATTTCAGTATGGCAATGATTTCTGCAGTCAAAACACCAAGTCTACTTGGCATTTCTGTATATGTAATGCATCTGAATTTAGTTGCTCACAGACCCAACATGAAACAGACTTCAGATTTCAGAATAGCTGTGCAGTCCAAAGGTGAGACCAATGTTTGTCCACACCTGTAGCATCGTCCCATTAGCCCCTGCTGGTAGATCTCATAAATACACACTTTGGCTGCAAAGAGCGTCTTTCTAGATGGACCCTTTTCACAGATGGTGATGATATGTTTCAACAGCTATTAACATTGTGACATTGACGTTAACATCTAGCAAACTTTTTTTAGATTTTCAATTTTTTTTTTAAATGATGTACATCTATGACACTATAATTTGTAATTTATTACCTCTGCATTCAATTATAGAAAACTAGTTAACGATGCTATAGCGTCTTTCTAACACAATGGCTAAGGGAGTGATGGGAAATTTGACATCTTTCGCTCTTCTGACCAAAATAAACAATCTCTCAATATTTTTTTCTACTTTTGGAAGTCATGGAAATGCTATTGTCAATGTTTCTTTTGCTGTTGGGGCTAATGGGAATGCAAAGTTTATATTTCTTGTAGGTTTCATTCACCACATTAGAAGTTTACCCATCTATGATGACTTCCGCTTCTACGAACCCTGGAAATGTGAAAAGGGTCCATAGAAGGCCATTCAAAATAGTAGACTTTTCTGACTTTCTTTCTGAGCAGCATTATGCTTCATATTATAGATGACAGTCGCAGCTCTCGTGAAGGGTTTGGGACTGTATGCATTCTTGTGTCTTCAATCAATCAGTGTTGTCACAATATAATTTTTTTAGCAGAGTGATTAGTCACAATTAGTCACATGGCATTCATGGCTCAGATGATTGGCTCAAAAAACTGTGATTTCCATGAGTTACATATTTCCCAGTTTTTCTACAGCAGTCAAGCTTTGATATAAATGGCACTGCTAACAGATAGTTTTCTCCAGGTATTATAAAATGTATAGACAATAGAGAGACAACAGGAAGTGATGGAGAGAACAGGATCAACAAATGACAGACTGATTCAAACTTGCATTAGCCAAATAATCATCAAAAAGAATGAGTGTTAACTGCCATGTCATGGTTCAGATTCATTGTGATGAACATGATATGACTTTTTATTTGTCCTCTTTCCTTTTTGTCTTCTGTCTTCTGCCATCATTCCAAGAAATTAAACTTTGTTTTTGAAAGTTTCTAGACTTGCAGGACAGCATTTATAATGGCTAAATTCAGCCCTGACGTAATGTTTTACCTTTTGGCATTTACCATTATTACACAATAAGAGCTTTTCTTAAGAGGAGGTTTTCCTATATGTGAGTTTGAGATGCCATATGAAAATAAAACATTGGGATGAAAAATTATTTGGAAAGCTTTAAATTATTCAGAGGGTTTGTGTGTGGTGAGGCTTCCAGTGAATTCAGTTTTACTGTAGGACAAAAAAAAAATGTGTGACAGGCATTTTTGATGACGTGGAGTTCTAAGGGTTTGTAATGTAATCCCAGCAAATTTTGGATTTAAATATCGTTCCCTAGATCTTGTGTCACTCTGATAACAAGAAAGGTGAAAACAAGATTGAGAGGACGATAAGAATGTGTTGGTTTGGCTTGGTTTGATTTCACAGGAAAGAGGAAGTGGTTTATGCTTGATGGTCTTCTATAAACCAAGTTGTTTTATGCCCCGTTCAGACTACATGATTTTTTTGTCGGTTACGACAATCACTGTGTCAGATTATGCGATTTTGATTCATAAAATCTTGTCGTGTCGTGAACAAGAAACATGTCAGACTATACAATGCTACCCGACCATTCATCGCATGCCGTCATTAACAACGTGCCTGCTGTCATCAATAGCGCGAGACAAGACAGAAGGTGCTATGAGCGTAAACAAACAATGGCTAGCAAACAGTGTGTTTTGACCTGTCTTGTCATCAGAAAAGCCCAAAAAAGAAAGAAAACCTGACAATGGACACAAATCTGGATGGCATGAAGAGGATGTTATGGACTGTCAAAGAGAACTGAGGTAAAATAGTTTTTATTTTACCTTTTTTCACTGTGTCGCAGTAGGCCCTCATCATAAATACAGGAGTATTGTTGCCGTAGCTCCACGAACATTTTCCTCTATTGTAAAACTACACCTAGCAGGACCGATACCATTGTCTCTCTTTTATTTCGGCATGTTTGAAAGCTTGTACAAAGGCACTTCTGTGCTCCTATTGGCCAGTGTCATAGCTGTGATGGAACTTGTCATGTACGACAGAAAAAAAAATTAAACATTCTAGTCTTTCTTTGTTGACGTCGTAAAGCTTCGCAGAGGCGTTGTGCACTATACTACACGAGATTAAATGATTGAATCGTGCGTCCCAACGCCCATTGTCGTATACGAATCCCCACGACACCCTACGTCAAGCAGATCGTGGCAAAATCGGGCTAAAATCGTGTAGTCTGAACAGGGCTTTAAATGCCTGATCAAGGCCATGGCAGCTCTTGCTTGGGCATATGGGGGTCTCTGGCTATCTCCCAACACCGCTGACAAGTAACTTCCTTTTTAAAGGCCAATTCACACCATACCTGGTTTTGTCTTGCCAATGTGTTACACCTGTTGGTGTCTTTTGCCATTGGGCGGCACTTGTTTTCACCAATTAAACGTGTTGAATCAGCGTTTGTTGGATCTTGGAATGTCTGAGAAATGATGTACTGTACTCTGTCGGCTGTCAGCTTTGGTCTGTGTCTTTTGTGTGAATTGACCTTAACAGTCCTCATACGAAAGAAAAAGGACAAATGAGATACCTTTGTTTCTGCTAGACAGTAATACAATTAAATTTAGAGACTTTTGTCTCTAAGTTTAGATTTGCAACTATAGTGTGTAATCAAAAGTCAGATTTTGGCATGAACATTTCTCATTCAATTTTCCAAGACCTATGATCTCCTAAAGAATTCTAGGAGAAACATCTGAGACAAAGCTGATAATTACATGAAACATAACTGAGAAGCCTCTCTGAGCAAAAACATGTTCCTCTGGGTTAGCGTGTGGAAACAGAAGGCCAAGTATTCATTCTCCATGTTGCACAAAGCAATGAAATTTGAAACCTGTTCAGACCAATTTATGTCCTGCAGATAATATATCATTACCATAAAAGGATATGACAGATAAATCTGAACTATTAGATTGGACTATCAGCTCCTTTTTTATATTACAGCCAAGAACTTACAACAGAAAGCAAAGGAATGTGAACAGGACGTCACAAGTTGAAAAGGCAAAAATATAATATTTGTTTCAGCACAGCAAGAATTAAACTCTTTTATTTCTACATAAACACTTAAAGGTGGATTCTACAAGTTAACACCAAATAAACCAGTCATATTTGTCTGAGGGTGATAATATCTGATAAAGAAAATGATTCTCCACATCTTGTTTAGAAATGACTTTAGACTGGTCCAACATGCAGTAAGTGTAAGATATTATCAAGCTGAGGTATTCACACAAGCACGAGGGTTTCTAATCTCTCCTGCATGTGTCTCTCATGTGTGTCCCTGTTCCTTTATTCTCATGGTGATAAATAAACAAACAAACCAAGAGAGATAGGCAGAAAAACATACAGAGAGATCTCTGCTGGAAATGTTCTTGTATTCCTGGAACACAGGACAGCTTTTCATCAAACACCACAAACATGAAACAAAAACAGTCCCACAGCTGTTTTCCACACTGGTCCAGAGGAATATTTTATCGCTCAGAGGTTCCTCGTCCATAGCTCAGGACACTTAAAAAAATCTGTCATTTACTCGTGACCTCGTGATGTTTCAAATTGAACTCATTAAATGGTGTAAAAAATGGTGTAGAAATAGTTTTCACTCAGAGATCGATTGTAAATTTCACAATTCATTACAAAGAAATTGAATTTTTAAGTAGAAAGACTGAAATAGTATTTTCTTGTAAATTGTACTAGAGTAATCTGTTTACTGAAAAAAATTTTTTTACAGCTGTTGAACTTGAACAAATCAGTCTTTTGAGTCAGTTCTTTTCAGTGAAATCAGACTGATGCTATTCTCAGGTTCAACTCTTGATTGATTTGGTAGCATATGGGCATGGAATGACATGAGTGTGATAAATAATTATTGCTTTTATAGTCTTAACTTTGTCTGAGATATTTGTCCTAGTTTATTACAAATAAGACATGTTTTTAAATGCAGTAAGAGTTATAATATTATAGCCCAGCATAGCCAAGATAATTTGTTTATGGAAAAATTTGATGAGTTCATACTGAAATCTCTGAGGTATAATTGCAGACTTATGAGCAAAGTGTGGCATAGCTGAAAATGTGAAATCACTGGGATCCCATTCTCAAGAGAGACATGTGCAACCTGAAACTATGAAAAAATATGAATCATCATATTCATATTTTCATATTAATATCATATTTAGGATTTCCTTCTTAAACAATTAGCATTTCACCAATATGTAGGATCTGAATAAGGCAGAAGAGCGATCTTCATCACTGCAGACTTTATGCTTCTTTTACCACCAGGGCTGCATTTCACAAAAGCATCATGAAATAAGTCGATCGTAGAGACCATTGGTGGCAATGGATCTATGATCTTCTTAGGTTTACGATGCTTTTGGGAAATGCAGCCCAGGTCTGTTTGAAGCTGGAAGGATTTGACACTGGGCAGACAGATGTGTTCACGCCTAAGGTTGGCCTGAGGGTGAGGTGTATACCTATCTGCCATACTTTGGACAGAAGCACACCTTGAAACACTTGCCGTTCTTGTCATGTTTTCTCTTGTTATGCAGGTGATGTTAAAGTAAATGACTTGGTTACCTTGATCAAGGCATCTGAGACATGCAAAAATAACTGCCCAAACATGTTGTGCTGACAAACGTGAGATTGCTGATGCAGCGATAATGTTGTTTTTAAATTATGCTTAATTCAAATATAAACCACTTATATTCATTCCCAGATTAAAGGATGACAAATTAATCTTCATTAGTTAGCTTTGATGTTGTGGGTACAAAATGCTCCTAAGCGCCTTACACATAATGTACCGATTCTCCATATCACTGTGTACCCCCCTGTCAGACTCTGTTCCATGTTTT